CCCGGTGGGAGTAGGACTCCCCTTGGGGCGCGCCTAGGAGGCCGGCCCCCTCCCCTTCCTCCACTCCTTTATATACGGGGGAGGGGGGCACCCCATAGACACACAATTGATCATTGATCTTTTAGCCGTGTGCAGTGCCCCCCTTCACCATAATCCACCTCAGTTATATCGTAGTGGTGCTTAGGCGAAACCCTGTTCCCGTAGAAACATCATCACCGTCATCACGCCGTCGTGCTGACGAAACTCTCTCTCGAAGCTCTACTAGATCGTGAGTTCGCGGAACGTCACCGAGCCGAACGTGTGCAGATCGCGGAGGTGCCGTACCTTCGGTGCTAGATCGGTCGATCGTGAAGACGTACAACTACGTCAACCGCGTTGTCATAACGCTTCCGCTTACGGTCTACGAGGGTACGTAGACGGTACTCTCCCCTCTCGTTGCTATGCATCACCATGATCTTGCGTGTGCGTAGGAATTTTTTTGAAATTACTGCGTTCCCCAACAGTACTTGACATTGGTTTTTCCCAGGACCAAAATGCTCTCTCTCTCTCTCTCTTCTCCTTAATTGTTGTGTCATGCCATTTTTTCGCTTATGTGGCATGATTAGCACATGTACATCATGAAGCACTGGTAAGCTATAACCCTTCCCTCTCTCTTATTAATTATTACTCCCTCCGTTTCATAATATAAGAGTGTTTTGGACACCAACACGAAGAAGTGAGTGTAACACATCAGCAAAACATCTATGAAACCGTGCTAAGAAATCTGCATACAAAAATTCCCTCGATGAAGTGAGCCTTTCCATTAGCGCTTACAAAATTCCCTAATAATCTCACCGTAGCCCTCGGTCCCGCCTACATCACTCGCACCCAAACTCCATCTCGCCTTGAACTGTGAGAAGAACACAATGATCATTGGTTAATCTCATTTCAGGGCTCAGCCAAAAGAAGAGGACGAAGAAATTGGTTTCAAACAGCTTTTTTTTCGTGTATATATAAAAATTCAATTCACGGCAGCTCAACCTATCAGGCCAAAGGTTTGCCAAATTCTAACCGGGCTCTGTTTCCCGAGGCTCCCGAATCACAGGCCCAGCAGCCCACCTTTGTCGTCTTTGTCGGTTTGGATCTCTCTCCGCCTCCTTTCCTCTTCGCCGCCGAGTGTACGGGAGACGAGGCGAAGCCGCCACCGCCGCGTGGTGTATAAATACCCACCGAGCAGAACACGGCGGCGATCGAGGCGAGTACCAGAGCAAAGATCGCGGAGAGGAGATGGCGATGGAGGGAGGCGAATCGAGCTCCACTCCCGAGCAGCAGCAGATCGAGGTCCTGTGCGTGGAGATGGAGGAGCTGGCGTCTTTCCTGAGGGCCAAGATCGAACCAGCAGCAGCCGCGCTCCGCCGCCGCAGCAGCAACGAGCCGGCGGCGGCGCCGGGGACGGACATCTCGGATCGCATCTCGGAGGCGCGGTACGCCGTATCCAAGGTCAGATCGGGGATGGCCACGCTCCTGCGGGGACCAGCAGCTGCATGCGAGTTCGTTCCGAACCCCGCTGGCGCTGACCATCAACCGGAGGAGGGGGAGGAGGAGGACATGACCCCCGAGACGACCAAGTATTAAAGGATGCTCGAGAGCGAGGTCGAGCTGGAGGAGAACGGGTGGAGGACATAGCGATGTATGCCCGGTTCTGCAAGGAGCTGCTAGAGATGGAGTACGGCCTTCGAGAGCTCCGGGAGCAGAATGAGAGGGACGACATTAAAAGGCAGCGCGAAGTGGACGCCACCATCCGCTTGTCGCGTCGGGGCCAACAGGAAGAGGAGGATGAAGAGGAAGCTGAGGAGGAGGAGGAAGAGGAAGAGGATGAAGACCTCACGGAATCAGCCGAGGAGATGGCCATGGAGATGGAGGCGGAGGAGAAGTTGTTTGCTTTGGAACGTAAAGGCTGGGAGTCTGCATGGGGAGACGAAAACGACTTCGAAGACGCGAGTAAGTAAAATATATTCCTTTGCTTTCTTCATTCAATCCTCCATTGTACTCCTTATGTAAACTAATATAAGATCTTTTAGATCACTAAAGATGGTATAAAGTAATTCATGTTGGAACATGTCTAACGCTTGGATTGATTTGGTTGCTTTGTGTCCTGCAGCCGTGCTGAGTCCTATGCACTTTACATACTGCACGCCAGGATTGATCCCATATGCTGCTAGGACCGCGAGCACCCTGCAGATCTACTCCGTCAAGATTATCGGAGCAGGTAGGAAGTTGGAGTGGCCACTCAATGTGTATGGGGTCGTCGCTGCCCGAGACGCCGTGGACTACAACCACAACATCCTCTTCTCTCGGTGGGGGGACGACTGCCAAAAACTCACTCCAGAGGTGTGCACCGTGTCCCTGTTTTTTCTCTTCGTTCCACCTTTCTTTTTCTTTTTCATTGTGCTCAACTATACGCATGATTATGATGATGATCCCTGCAGGATCCATTTTTGTGCTTGACTGGTCCGTCCCGTGCGATTGTGGCCATGGAATGTGCCGATTTGGAAGTCCAGCTGAAAGTAAAGGGTGAAACAAGGTCTAGTGATAGAGCATTGATCACCCGTCGGTCCACTTACTCCGGTGGTTACCATCAAGGTTTAGAGACCATGCTCTTCAGCAACTGCTTTTGCACGGTAGAGTTAAGCTTAGAGCGGCTTACGGAAACTGTCCAGGCTACTATCTTGAGTGTCCGTGTTGACGAAGAGGGGCCATGGCCTTTTGAACATGGCGGACGGATTATGTGCTCCTCACCACCACACGAAGTTAAGGACCCCCTATCCAAGCAAGTTGTTCTGGTTGATTCTCATAGTTGTGAAGGTGGAGAAATGCCAATGGGCACAGCCAGTTACATTGATCTGTCAAGGCGTGTTGTTTCTGTAAAATTGGAAGACAGCCTGCAATTTGCCATACAAGCCTACTCGCAGTCTGGCGCTATTGCTAGACAAAGTAGTGTCACGTTCAGGACCAAATATTGCAACGTTAGCCGAGGTATATGCAAGATTGGTGACTCGGTGGTGGAGATTACTATTGCTTGGTCCCATATTGTTAGGCGCAAGAGAGGAATCCACTTAGCAGGTCATGTTTGATGCTTCCTGTATTGTGTTGATGTTTTTTTTTTCGAAAGGGTATTGCGTTGATGTTATGGACTATGATACCCTTTACCAAGTTGTATCTGTTTTTGCCTCACATGTGGTTTACGAAGCTGCGGAAACTTCTTTTTTGTAGTAGTAGTATCGATTAGCTAAATGACCAATGTTACCTGAATATTTTTGTGTATGTGTATTATAATTTCTTACTATGCTGTGTGAAGTAGATTCAGCAGCCATGTTGTACAAATAGTCTGTGTTTTGTACTTTTCTTATTATATGTCACTCATGCTATATTCTGTCTACCATAATACTTGATTTCCCATAACATCCATCCATTCTTGTAAAGCCAAAACCAAATAAATGGCTATGGTCGAACCTGAGCTCCATCAAGGTGCTCTCAATGTTTTACAACTCCCCAGCCACCCGAAACATTGTCTCCGACATCAACTTTTCCAGGGCTTTCAGTGGTCAACTTGTTTCACTTGTCCTTTGCAGCAGAAAGGAACCTGTTTGACTTGTCCCTGCCTGAAAAGATTTACTAAGAAAAGGGCCCATGAGTAAGAGTTGATAGACCAAGGAAACAGCATGAACATGGAGCCACGAGATCAGCTTGTTCCATGTCTGACCTGGCCTCCATGATGAATTATACCTGGTTTCTAGCGTAAGATGCAGGAGCATCCCTACCAGCTGTTTCCTCTATCTCATCAGCTGACATTTGATCAACACGGTTGCCCAACACATGCTGACAGAGAATCTCTAGTCCTGGTTGTTTTGCTCAATCTCTTCAATTGCTTAAGTTCTGCGAATTATAGAGTCACAAAGCGGAGTAGAAGATGTCATTTTTTTTTAGGGAAAAGTATATTTCTCATCCCTCAACTCTTACAAAAGTTTAGAAATAGTCTCTAAACTTCAAAACCAGCAAAATATAGTCCCTCAACTTTCAAAAGCAGATAAGTTCTCTCGAAATAGGATTTCGCCCCGCTTTATAAATAAAGCAATAATCCCGAAAATCCAAATCCGAACATCACCATACAAATGACGGATGGGGCCATAGCACAATCATGCCCAAGTAAATAAAAGAGAAATAAGAAAAAAGCCACCTAATGGCGAGTGCCAACGGGCACTATGCCGATGATAAGCGACGCACCGAAGCCAGGATTCAAAAGCAGATAAGTTTAGTCGCTGGTGTCACCTCATGTGGTTTCTTTGCTGACCAGGAGTGGTTTTTGATTAAAACAGGACATGCCATGTGCGGGTCCCACTTGTCATTGTCAGGGAGAAAGAAATAATAGCTAAACATAAAAGTAAGGTGGGTGGGCTGCTAGCCCTTGCGTACTCCTGTCGCCGCGGTGCGGGTTCGACCCTGTGTCTCACACTTCTCTCTTAACTAGCTAGTATGATGCCCGTGCATTGCACGGAACATCAAGATGCATATTTTTATAAAACACCTATTGTGATTGACCCATGCGGAAGTAATCCCATGTGTAAAAACTAATGACATCTCGAGAAAGATGAGAGATAAGGTGAGGAGGAGTGGGGTGTGGTGGTGATCGGTGGTCGGACTGAGCGGAGGCATGGGGATGGACGACACTGACAGCGGCCACCATGCCAGATCGTTCCAGAGGCTTCCTTTTTTAATTGCTCAACAATTAGGTTGTGGGAGATAAGGATGAACGAGGGAATGCCATATCTGTAAATATGGAGAGAGGTGCGAGTATCTTTTTGCAAAATTGTCATAGTTTGCTTTCTATCCGTCAGTTATAGATCGGACGGTCTATATTGCAAGATGGCAGGCACACCATCATCATCAACTCGGTTTTTTTATAAGAAATAAAGACTAAAAAGCCAGAGGGGTAAATGAATGGATTATGATGAGCTGCAAAACATATACTATTGTGAATAAAGTAAGGACCAAATAAATTGTATGACTTGTCTGGTTGTCCCTGCCTGGATAAATATATACTCAAAAAGGAACAATGACTAGAGCTGACGACCAAGGAAAACACATTTGATGGACCGCCGAGGCACGGCATGAACGTGGAGCCATGCAATTTAAGCGTCACTGGTAAAGTTAGGATACTCGCACGGAGTACATCAACAGACGACAACACAGCTAGCCGTCAGTGTTTTCACAAAGAAAATAAAATTTCGCGCGGTGCAAAGTTCTAGGGTTATGAGAAGTCGGCTTTTCCCCGGGTCAAGTCAGAATTGTGATGGTTTCGTACAATTCACTAAGATCAAGTGAACTTTCTGAACCATGGTCACGAAATTCTCCTCTCCTATAGAATATAATTTGTAGTTTGCAATTAGATTAAAGCCTCAAACAGATCTTCAGCCATTTGTTGTATACATTAAAATTGAGGTCTCGAGGCCAATAAGCTAACAGTTTTTTGGTTCTCGAGATAGCTGACCGCTCTTTTTTTTGCCAAACGGTCAATAAGCTAACAGTATACTTCTATTATTTAAAAAAAAACAGTATACTTCTACTTGTGAATTAGAGATTTTGCAATTTGTTTTTATGAAGTGCTCTCATTTCTTCCTCTTGCCCTTGGTGTATACATCCCAGAAAACGACGAAACATGAGGGTGGTGGAGAGCGATGGATGCCGGCGGCCAAACCCTAACAACGGTGCACTGCCCCCGAGTATGAGAGCAAAGATGTGAATAATGGGTTGAACCAACCACTTGCTCGCGTTCAAACTAGTAACTCTTCCGATTATGCCCGTTGCCCTGTGGGATTTGTTTGGTCCCTTTGACCAAAAAAATACTAGCACTCACGTGTGGGAGTAGTATCGATTGATCAGGTTCCTCGGATCAGCTCAATGAATGCCTCATATCGATCTGCTCGTATCTTAAAAGTTCTCTTTTTCTAGGAGGCCTATTTTCTGCTATTATTTCTCTAAATACATGCATGTTTGATTGACTTTCATTCACGCTTTTATCACTCCATATTTGCTATCGTTGATATTATGTCTAGAAATTCCAATTTCCCTCATTTATATCAGGGAGGTGCTCCACTGTTCTTCCTACTTTGGTATGATGTTCTATTTTATCTTATAGACGTTTCTCCGAGACCCAAGTTAAATCCAACCATTTCTTTAGTTCTTCAAATAATCCTTTCAGTTCGATTCACATGTCCACTCCGATCATTTAATCTACAAATATTAGCTACAAGCAGAATACACAAACATATCACCCAAAAAAATTTCTATAGATATTAATAATTATGTACCATCTATATACAGTACATACACTTTTAATGATGCCCCATAATGATCCACAAATTTTAAAACGTCTATCTTTTTTGAAACTTGATATACTTGATGCCAACACAGAAGATAAAACAGAAGAACATGCTTAGCACAAAGTGAAGAGCTGTGACTAGGGGAAAGTAGCCATTTTCAAGGCCTAAGTACTCCTCCAAAAACTTCATCACTGGTTGGTCTGGCTGGCCCAACACACGGATTAGTTCCGTGTGGTCGCCGAGCTGTGAAGACACAAGCCCATATAGGGTCCATGCTGCTGGATCGGCCCAGTACATCCACCTCCACCACATGGGCATCGCCTGTAAAAGTGAGTGGCAATGCGTCATATACGCTAACATCCATTCTTCTATCAAAATTTCTAAGAGAGAAAGAATTGAAGGAATCAATTACCTTCCGTGTAATGATGAAGCCCGAGAAGAAATTCCATATCATGAAGATGAGGAAGGATAGCCCAGCAGCTATCTCTGGACTGGGTGTCAGTGCAACAGCCATCATCCCGTAGAGTGTGTAGTCCATGAAGCTTAGTATCATGTACATGACAAACCATATGAATTTTTCAAATGTCATCTGGAACCCTACCATTGGGTACACAATTGCTGAGAAAATGAGTGGTTGAATAACAATGTAAGGAATTTCAGCTGCTACCTGTGCAAGAAGATCCATTATGTGTGTTAGTTGCATTCCCAAGTGATGGAAGGTGTTTTACCAATTGACTTACCTGACCAATTACAAACGCCATTGAGGAGTACATGCCAGAAGCTTTTTCTCTATAGAAAACAACTCTCTCCATCGCCACGACTGGTTGTAAACTATTGCAGTTCATGGAACCGAGAAATAGGGCTGATCCATATCCAATTCCCAGTATGTTGAACACATCTTGCTCCACCTTACTGTTGTGAAGAAGATAGCTGGTAAATATTCTATGTCTGGTGAACTTTTCATTTTAGATTTGACACAACTAGTGACCATGCATGCGTACTTACATTGTTGACCCAATTTGCCAGAACACAACGCCAAACATGATTGAGATTGCAAATGTATTTAGAAAGCAAAATATATTTAGCTCTGAGTTTTTTCTGTAAGAGCAATATTGTTTCCATATACATGTCATGCATTGAGTTTTAGTGTCTCGCCAATATTTGGATGTGAATTGTAGATCTTCCTGGTTTGTATTTGGTTTGCTCAGCTCATCAACCAAAGCCATGTTCTCCCTGTGGATAGATACACAAGCCAGAGAAATACAATGTGATCATTTGCCTTCAAAATTTCCAGATGACAAATACAATATTTAAACAGCAAATTTATAGGCATGCATGTAATAGCTTACTTATATAAGTTGGAGTTCTCATAAATTTGTACGTAGTCCACTCCAATTGTACACTCCATGGCATGTGAGCTAATGTCTAACACCCATGAAGCTGGATTTTGACCATCCTTGATTCTAGGAACAGCGGGAATAACCTAAAAAGAGGCCATTTAGTTTTTCTCTCTATCTTATGAATGATAAGTTCGTCTCAACCTATCTCACCTCGAAATATTTTGTCAAATTTCTAGATAGTGATCCTAGAGAACCGCTATAAATGAGTTGACCTCCTTGTTTCATAAGTAGCAGCTGTGATTAGTGAGAAAAAATCAATCATTGTACTAAATAAATTTTTGCATGGAATAAATGATTAGCTTAATTTTAAGAAATGTTTTGTCCAATGAACCCCTATAAAAGAGACATCCCTACTCTATATATTGGGTGTGGTTGTCATTCTTTCTGGTAGCACTAGACATGTGCACAACAACTAACATACCTCGTCAAAAGATTCGAATAAATGAATATTCGGTTGATGAATTGTGCAAACAATAGTGCGCCCAGTGTCCACCAACTTTCGTACTGTATGCAAGACAATTGCTGCAGCACGAGCATCTAAACCAGTTGTTGGCTCATCCATGAACATAATAGAAGGGCTTGCCACAAGCTCCACCGCTATTGTAAGTCTTTTTCGTTGCTCGGCTGATAGACCTGTCACCCCAGGAATGCCCACCATTGCATTCCTCAAGCTGTTTAGCTCTACTAGTTCCATAATTTCTTCCACAAACATCTAGCAAAGTTTAAAACATGAAACTATGAGAACATGTATGCAAATCATGGTGCTAGTTTTTCTGTAATAATAAAAGTAATAAATATCTTACATCTCGTTGATAAGGTTTCACATATGAAGGTAGGCGAAGGTATGCAGAGAATAGAAGTGACTCATAGACTGTCAAGTGAGGAGAGTGTATGTCGGTTTGCTCACAATAACCAGTAATCCTTGAGCATGTATCTTGCTGTTTTTGGTAGCCGCCTATGTTAATAGTACCTTCGATGTAACCTCCGGTTTTTCTTCCTGCCAAAACATCAAGTAATGTTGTTTTCCCAGCACCAGTGATCCCCATCAACGCTGTTAGGACTCCTGGTCTGAATGAGCCACTAACATCTCGTAACAGCTGAAGCCTTGTTTCGGTTGCTCCAAATTTTTTCATCTCCTGTCATAAAATTGGCATATCTAAGATAAGAAGAGAGCAAAATAAGTTTTCATAACTAACATAAAATTGACATACAAGGGAGGGATTACTTTAGGCATGTCAACAAAATAGTTGATTTTTTTAAATACAAAACACAGCGGTTGGAACGGGATGCTAGCTTGATCAGTTGAAGCCTTCCCACCAACTATTACTTGACCGTCGTACTCTAAAGATTGTCTCCCTTGTGACTTGATATTACTTTGGTGCTTGTGTGGAGCTGCAAATAGTTTGATGAGATATTTATCCTTGTTTTTTCTCCGTGAAGCATAAGATGTAACTTTGTTCAATGTACTTACAGTTTAAGAACTCTAATGCCAATATGCTCAGGATGTTGAAGATCAGTGCAAATCCAAATAAAACTACTACACAAATCCAATACCATTGCCATTCACCGAGCAAACCCCTGACCTTCAGAATAGCTTCTCCAATAGTCTTAGCATTTTCAAAATGGAACTCCTGTAATAAGACATGATTTAGAAAAATAGTAGACAGTGGAACACGGAGATATTGTGTCTCATGACATACAATAATTGTTTATGTTGTAGTGTTATATGCTGCTAGTATATCGTTCCTTCTTACCTTAGCCCATCTTTTGTCAAGATATTCGTTCAAAGCTAGAGCATTGAGGGCGTAGGTGAATGGGGAAGCCCAATAACCCCAGCTCAACCATGGTTGGAGGTCATCTGCGTTTTGAATGGAAAATAGGTAAATTCCATCTCTGGCCTTGAAATGATGAGAATGTTATTACGTTGTTGCGCTATTCAGTGGTAGATAATCTAACCTTTTGATATGATGAAGCCTCCAAGTATGAAGATTGCAACTAGAGCTTGCGTCCCTAGTATATTTGATACTATTGGTGTTCTTCCAATGGTCGCTAAAAAGCGATAAAGACCTAGTGACATTTGATGCATCACAAAAAACACTAGTAATTGCTGAAATAACCTGCCACAAAATTGAAGGCCTCAGTTAGTGAGTAGTTATTTCCTTATTGGATAGCATTTGAATGATGATGGATGATGTTGAAATTTTTGTATATACCTAATGGGAGAAGGTGCATAGCCAATTGCATAGTAGGTTGGGAAAGGTCCAAAGACTTGACTCCATTAGTGATATAGGTAGACTGATAAGGAAAACTGAGCAAACAACAGCCCATCCTGGTAATGCTAATGACTCCCTTTGTTTATAGAATATCGGGAGTCTCTTTGTGGTCATTGCAAGTTCGATCATGCTGTTGAAGTTTATGACAGCTATACCCATAAAGAGAGCACCCAAGTACTTTACTCCCTCAAAAACTGTATCTGGGCTCGTTTCTGTCCGAAGGAAAAGTGTCGCAATGACAAAAGCTAGAAAAATGATTTGTATAGCCTTGAACATATGAACCGGACAATTTCTTTTAAATAGGAGTACTTCCCTTGAGAGGCAAGCTCTGAAAACATTCCGCTTTGATATGCCTGGATTGTTATATGCTTGAAATTCTTCCTTGCCCTGTTCGATGTCGTAATTCTTGCACTGCTTATCTTCCAGAGATTGAGGAAGGTCATATGCTTTGAAGCAATTTACGAAATTTTCAATGGTATGATTTTGATATTCACTCACATCACCGCTCTAGTACTGCTTTTGATACTTTTTTAAGGTAACCTATCCAATGCAAATAGTACATTATTTATCATGTTGAGTAGTTGGAGAAATTGATCTCGTGCTTACTCTAAATGATACATTAGACTATAAAGTGCTTTACTATTGATTCCAATCACCATGTGTGAACAAGCGGACAAGACTTCTTGTGCATTAGAATTCAGTAAATAAAAAACACTGGCATGCAGTTCAACTTAATAAATGTCACTCTACTATTTCCCTATGCTAAAGAAACAACCTAGTGCTCTTCCTAATATTGTTTCGTCTTTTTGTATGTTTCTTTCAATGGAACACCATGTCAACTAAATTATCTTCGCTTCATTTTTCCGTGCGATGTTTGGTTATGTTAATCACATAACAATGCTTAATCCATACACGTCTATACTCATAGTATATTTATTTTCTATTGATGACCTTATGGCTATATAATTAGAAATGGCAAGATATTTGTACTATGTGTTTTCTCTACCTAGTGAACTAATGGTCTACGATACAATTCCAATATAGCTTTCCGATCATTTGAAGCTCATGCAAGGCAAGTACTTGTAACGAATATGATTTATAACCAGTTATGAAATGTATCATGATTTACCTCTTGAAGGAAGTCAGCTACATTCTTCCTGCTAGGGCAGGTAAATCCAATGTTGTTGAAAAAGTCAATAACATTTTGTCGAGCGCCATGGTAAACAATATCACCCTCACAGAGAAGGATTATGTCATCAAACAATTCTAATATCTCTGGAGATGGTTGTAACAAGGAGATAACCATTGTAAGATCCATGAGATGTGCCATTTGTCCAAGAAATGTCATAATCTCAAATGTGGTAGAGCTATCCAGGCCTGTTGATATGTCATCCATAAAGAAGCACCTTGCACGACCAACTAGCATCTCTCCTGGATCATTAAAAGGAAGGTAATTAGAAAGATTGCTAGTGAGATACATATATATAATGAATTACAATATGTACATGCAACCTACTTAACCCGAGCATACCCAGGACCAGGCTTTTGCAAAGCCTACCATGGTAATCATGTGGCCCAAAAACAGACGTTTGCATTGTAAAAGGCACTCAAACCATTTTTTTGGAATAAACATGAGTTAATGTGCCTATTTAAAAATATTTTTTCACAACTTTTGGTATTTTGGGGCCGGTTTTGGCAGAAATCATAGCTCAAGCCCATGCACACCCCCTCGAAATTTCAGGTCGGGCTGCCCATGACCAGGCATAGTACAAACCATGTGGCACAATATAATTTTCCAACGATTGTAGACATGTAAATTTTATCTCTGCAATGTTCTTTCCTTCATCAACATAATAGAGTTAAATGTACCTTTAATTATATTATTCTCTTTGCAATATTTTGGGCCATGTTGTCCCACAACATAGGTAGGGTATGCAATTCTTCATGTCGTTTTTGCAACAAGCACCTAATGTGCTAAATATCGCTTACTTTTTAGTGTGTTGTACAATTGATTGCAAACAACTATATTATATTTCATTAGTAGAAATAAATCTTCTAGGATCACAATCTCCGAGGACAAGAATAATATTGCCATATTGGTCAGACAAAAGATCCTTTAGACTGAAGTTACTCAATTGCATAGAGTGGTATGGAAGTTAAAGCAAATAGTTTATCAGAGTGGAACAGAAGATCATGTGTGTATTTAAAAAAAGTAAGACTTGCCTAATGTGGTTCTCTTCTTTTGCCCCCCAGAAATCCCTCTTCGGAGCTCATCCCCTATTATGGTGTCAGCACAGTTCGACAATCCAAGAATCTATGTGTAGTATAATTTTTAAGTTATTGTTAGATAATATAATTCTGAATATCATAAGATGAAATAAATATACCTTCATAATATAGTTTGTTTTCAGGTTGCTTCCTTCTCCAAACTTGGTTGCCTATGCAAAAGACACCTTGTATGTTATTCAATAAAATGATGACAACTTCACAAATATTTTAGTCATAAAAGTGAGTGATACCTTAGAAAATAGCTCATCATCCACTGGAGCAGTCCTTCGCACTTCATCTTGTAGCATCTCTAAATTGATGGGCATGTCAAGTAGGAGCAATGAATTTGTGCGTATTTCGCATGGAAATTGATATTATTTATTATTGAAACATGGCTACTGCCTGATTGTGTCAGTTAAATCAAGAGATTATTTGTGCCTAATTTAGCGTAAGCAATAGAAGAAACACAAGGGGCACACCAAAGTCGTTGCTGGAACCCATCATGTTGGAAGAGAAATTAAGTGTTTCTCTCACTGTCATCTCAGCATGGTGAAGATCATACTGGCTAACATAAGCACGCATGTAGTGAGGTGTAGAGGAAATTGATTCTCCATTGTACATTACTTTCCCTTGGAACTGCCAAAATGATATTAAAACATGATATTATTTAAAACCTTGCTTGCAAACCATTTGCAACAGATGTAACATAGCATAATATATTATGTACTTTTTTTAGCCTGATACCTTCAAAGAGGGGTCTAATTTTCCAGCCAGTGCTCTTAAAAAGGTTGTTTTTCCTGATCCAGGTGCTCCCACAACAAGAGTCATCCTAAATATAAATAGAAAGGAAAGCTTCAGGTATAATGAAATAATGTACTTCCCTTCATAGATATTCAATAGGACCTCAGGACATCGCCTCCTCGATGACGCAAAAGGTTGTCCACGGCTCAATGAGAATGAGTGCACTATGCTTACTCCTTCTAGCCATGATGGAACTTATTTGTAACATAAAATGTGCCATGGAAAAAGAATTATGTAGCTTTACCTTGATGATCGTATTGTGCCACTTGCCGTGTTGAGAATTTTGATTCCCGTCCTCTGTGTGCCACAAAGGTATGCAGATTCTAGAATTTCCTACGCAAGAAAGAGATTTTCGCCCATACATAAACTTTTCAATGAGGATACAAGAGGATATTGTCATTAACTGGTGAGCACCATACAAACCAGCAATAGGAAAATACATTTGTGAACATAGCTGCAAGCGCACCCGGCTAGCTATTTGATAAAATCCGCAGAACATTATTGTACATACTTTTGTGTTTTCTATGGCCCTTTTTCACTGACAATGGGCTTCGTAAGCTATATTTTTTTGGCGCTGTTGTTTATGTTCTTCAATTTGGTATGCTTGCTGTTCTCTTCTAGATTCTGGTCAAGCTCATGTGACTGGGTGTATGTTGTGGAATATGCGATACATTCGTTGCCATGCAATGATGGCAATGACCAATTTCTATCAAATCCACGTCACACTGTATAGCTATAGATGAATAACAGAACACATATATGGTGTATATAATTATGAATTTTAGCACTTCGGTGGTTGGGTTACGAGCCAACTTGACATGTACATATAGGAATAGGAATCGGCAAGCAGATACAACCACTACGCCATTGCCATTCGACTAGTCTATCAGAGTATCATACGGAGTCAGGTCCAGTAGGCGCAGGATGCGCTAAGCCATTCGATCTTCCTACTGGTGGTCCACCATAGAGCTCCTATGTAGCCATTTATTTTCTCTCTTAGATAATTTGTTTCTTTTTATCTCATGACTTTTTATGCGATCGAAAAACGAATGAGATCAGAAAGATAGGCGGACGACTTGACCATAAGGTGGGATGTTTCCCTGAGCAGTAAGCAACGGATCTCCCTTAAGAGGATTTATGCGGGTGCCTGGGTACCGACCCCATTGTTTTGGCTTTCAATTTTGAATCTTGTATATATTTTGAACCAAAAGTCTAAATGAAGTTTTGTTTGCACATTCATTTTCCTAGTGAAGAGGACTTTTAAATAAGATCACTTCTGAATACATTTTGGCATGTTTTTAAAACTTCACCAAGTTCCAGCTGGTAAAACTTTTTTTTGCGGGAGTTCAACTGGTGAAACTTGATATGAACGAACGAAAAAATTACCAAGTTTCAGGAACTAAAACTTAAAACTTGGTATTTCTCGTGTGGAATCCAATGATTTTGCGGATTCAGAAGCAATCGTGCTGCTGGGCACGGCTGAGCTGGTGTGTGCCCCTACACCCGTGTGCCTCTGCGAATTTCGGTGTACATATATGTATGCCATGTTGAGCTAAATTTGTAAATAAGCATATGGGGGTGGTTTGCCGGGCATGCATGCGTGCATCGTTAAAAGGCGTAACCGTACCCACCTTGGCAGCGCGGACGCCCGGCAGTGCAGGCACGCCGGCGTGGACACTGACGTCGTCGAACTGGACCTCCACCTTCCCCGGAGCTCCGCCGCATCCCGACCTACGCACGCACA